GTGTGTGTGTGTGTGTGTGTGTAGCACAGGCGTAGGTGGGTGGGTCTGTACGTATTGTTGTCCGAGAAATTACGTAGGTCGGTCAAGTGAGTGGAGAAGATACAGGAGGGATGGGATGGGTATATGAGATGGGGATAGGTAGAGGTTTCTCTTGATCTATATATTGTTAGGGAGCAGCAATTTACTTAATTGAAGTAAAATAAATTTTTAGAGAGGTGTGATGTAATTGTTTTTTTAGTGTTTAATTTTTTAAAAATAAAAAATTTTTCGAGAATAATTATTTATTCTATTTGATATGATTCTGTTTAAAATTGACAAAATTGAGTCTTTATAAAGATTCTTTATGCATCTATCTATATGTAAATTATTTAAAATATATAATTATTTTTGAAAAAATTCGATTTTTATTTAAAGAATTTTTTAAAAAAAAAGAAATGTTTAAATCTAATGTTTCTTATGCTTATTATAATGATTGGGTGAAATAAACTTTAAATGTGTAATTATTATAAAACAAAATAAACTATAATTATTTTATTTAAAATTTCTAAATCGTTAAAAACTTGTTTTATAATTTTTCTTCTTTCAAAGTTATACTGTTCGTAATATTCCTTGAAAATTCTTCAGGTCGAAAAATATGTGATATTTTTTTTCTCTAACATAAATTTATTCATTAGTATAAATTATATTTTGTATTTTATTTTTATATTTATATATTTTATATTTATATATTTATATATTTTGTATTTTATTTTATTTCTTAAAAATTAACTGTCATAGAACATACATAGATTGACAAGTTCATTGGCACAAGAATAAATCGATAAAAAATTAGAAAAAACATTTCTTATAACAGATGGTGAGAAACGATCACTTTACGACTCGATAATGATCAGTTGCAAACTGTTAAAACTACATCAAAACCAAATAAATTAAAATAGAAAGTTGATTTTCAACTTGTCCAGATATTTGACACTTTATCTTTTCGTTTAATGCAATGTTATGTAAAAGGATAGCACTTATAAAATCATGATGAAACGAAGAATCGAATTATTTTACTTTTTTACAACTATTTTACCTCGAAATGAAATTTTACTTTTTTTTCGAAATATATAATGAGAATAGATTATTCAAATTAATTTAGGCATTATTTCGATTAAGATAATAAGTTATAATAATATTATTTTAATAAGTATTTCAAAGTAAAGAATTCGCAAAACTTATTGAATAACTTAATAACTTATTGCCTTTCTGAAAAGAAATGTGGAAAAAAATATTTTTGATCATTTTGATAGAAATTTATATTTAAATATTACATTTCAATATAATCTTTTAATATCTGTAAACCGAGCAATTTATGTAATTATATCTGATTTTCTAATATCACTTTAATGTTACATTTTTCATTCGTCACTTATAAAATGATGCAATTATATAATTAATCGTATCTTTTTTTATTTTTGAAGAAATAAATGAAAATTTGATGATTATACGTTTTGATAATAGAAAGTATGTTCGAAATACATTCTATGTTTAATATATTACATAGTATTATATAATATTACAATTACGAATACAATTAAATTGATATTTAATATATTATTGTTGCATCATAATCTAGTAATAATTATTTACGTATCTTTTTTAGTACAAAATTTAATAAAACGAGATAATTTATTTATTAATTGTCTTCGATTTATGGATTTCGAATGATCGTTTATTTTTAAATTATTATTTATATTAAATTTTATTTTTTTTTATTTATATTAAATTTTATATTAAATTTTATTTTTAAATTAAATTTTTTCGTTTTTAAATTTTGATCGATAGTTGAAGAATATAATATGATAAATTCTTCATTTTTTATTTATTTTAATTAAAACTACATCGAGACTTTTTATTATTAATTTTTAAATAAATAAAGAAACCGTATTCATATTAATCTAATTTAGATGATTTCTGTAAAATTCATATTTTCTTCTAAAAAGCAATCTTTTATCATGTTGCTATATACAAAATTTACATACATGAATTTTAATATTTTATATTTTAATAACTATATACATCTTATTATACATATATCATATAATCGTTTTTTTCTATTTTTAGCAAATAATTAATATAAGTAATCAAGAAATATCTTTTTTTTATAAGAATATACAAAATATTTGCATATTATAATATAATATTTGCATATTAATCGCTTAAAAAAAAGAAAATTAATAAATATAATTAAAACAAGATTTGTTTTATTCTATAAAACAAACTTTTTGCATATTAATTTTGTCATTTGATTAAAATATTGCTTCGTGTCTGGTTACATTTAATACGTATCGAACATTAATATCATACTGGATGCAGATAAAATTATTGCAGGTTCTATTACCTGAGTCCACGTGAAGGACCACCTCTCACGTTACTTGTTAGCCCTTGTAGTGGACCGATATCATGGACCGTCAGTTACGTTGAACCACCAGAGAACGCTGAAGAAACAGATGGAGCAAAATGTATGTAAGAATTAAAATATATTAAATATTATAATTAATAAAAAAATTTAAAGTCGAACGAATTCTATTATTCTTTTAAGAGAGCAAAATGTATAATTTATTTATAAAATAGATTAATTGTCAAGAAAATTTAAAAAATTGCATTAAGTGCAAATATTTATTTTAAATTATTAATTATTTTTTTTTCATAATGATTATGTTTGTTAATTTGGAGTAATAAAGTATAAATTATATTGTAGTGTATATATAATTCATAATGTAAACATAATTAATCACTGAATATTTTTATGTTGATCATCTATAATGTATTTAATATTTCTTAATATTATTGTTAATATAGCTTATTAAAAATTTCAAATTGAAAAAAATGTTTTTGATATTATTACAGTTTTCAAATTTTTCAATAAATCTTGTAATAAAATATGAAAATGTTTTTTTAAGTTTATTAAGTTTATTATTATCTTTCAATTATTTTAATGAATTATTTTTCAATATTATATTATTACAGCAGAATATAAATAAAATTTTATTGCTTTTGCAACTTTTCATATGTATATAATTATTATATAATATTATATATAAAAATCTATCTTATTTTTAAAAAATTCAACTTTTTTTTATCATAATATATGATTAAAATTTTATTTTTATTTTTCAAAATTTATCAAAATAAATAGCAGAAAAAATCTTTTATCGAATTGATGAATATTCAAAATTATTGCAGAAATAATTATTTTTGAATTATGAAAAAAAATTTAAGTTAAAACTTATCATATAGGTTTTATTTAAAAATATTAATCGATTGATAGAATATTTAACAAATTGAAATAATTTGAAATTATAAATTTCTATATAAATATATTTCTAAATATATATAATTAAAATAATACATGTGACAAAATATAATCAACAGCTCAAACACGATGGCCTGTGAAGAGTTTAAAGCCAGGTTCCCCTCTTTTCTCATATGAAGGTGCGGAGGATCAGAATTTCACAATATCGAAGACACGCGCTGGCCTCTATTGGTTTGAAATTAAATCCGTGCACCCTCCTGGTGTCAATTTGNAAAATTGTTACCAAGCACGGTGCTTTTGTACGCGACGTCAAGCAATTTGAACCACATACCCCAATTATACGTAAATGAAAAAGAAAATCGTCGTCGTTCGTTAAGATTTCAGCAACGAAGAAGCAAACGTCGACTTAC